CTATGTCAGAAAGGCTTTTCTTCCTGAAGGGGTCTTTCCCCAGCTGCTTGGGGTTCTCAGACATCCAGAAAATAAATAGGACGACTCTGTAAGGAGAGAAAAAACAATTTAACCTGCTAATGGGGATTTCTTTTCATGCGTGGGGGAGCCTTTAACAGGTTTTAGGTTGGCAAAAAGCAGGGTGTAACCAGGTGATTTTTTTCTAGAGCAAGAGCTTACCACAGGCCATTGCCACCAGGGTGAGCCAGGACTGGGCTCCTTCAGTGCCGTTGCAAATCCAGGCCAGCACGGGATGTTTTTCAAAGCTGTTGACTAAACACCTCCAGTGAAACCACTGCCCCAAGTCCCCGTTTGCTATAGTAAGAAATACTCTGTTAGGTATAGTGGTGTGCTCTAAATTTGAAACTGGATATTGAAATTAAAGATAAGGGAACTATCAAAATAGAGAAACCACTGGCAGTTCGATGAATATATCTGTTGCCTATTATATGCTTGTAAAATAATATTGCACAGATGCCTACCTTTTCATGCTTCTGTAAATCTGAAGTTTATGGACTCCAACAACAATTTAACTCTCAGTATGAAAATACTGCAGTGGAGAATAGCCAATTAATATTTTATCATATGGGGGGGAGGTGTTGATAAGCTTGCCACACTTACTCATCTATGTTTATATTTTAAAACCAAATAACGCTGAAGAGCATAGCATTAATAATATGTTTGGAGGCAGGTAGAGAGCGAGCTGCTGGTGTTGTTGCAGATTGCCCAACTTCTGCTCTATTTTCAGTCATTATTTGTTGCGCTCAGAAAGCTGAAATTTCCCAGATGCCGTGATTGAGTTTACATGGTGTTGAGGAGGCATGACAGAGCATATCACTGCTGCTTTACCTCTTGGCCATCTGAATGCAGTCTCTGCCTTTGAAATAATTCCAGAGCTTGAGCTTTTCTGCGTAAATAGAGGAGCTATACTTGAAGGAAGACTAGCTTCTCCTAACGGCTGAATTTCCTCCCATGCCTTTTGCCTTTGTGAAGCGTTACTGCTTGGGCAGGAAGGTTCGGTAGTAGCATGGAGTCGCGTTTTTGAGAGTGAGCACTTCTGCTTGTGAACCACATGAGATGACATCTGTAGTTACACACACAGTTGAGGTGCCCTGCTGGGTACATTCGTGCTTCTAAACTTCTTTTAACTAAATCTCTACTGGAATGAATGGTTCACTTCTACTAGTTTTACTGGCACTGATACAAACCTGATTATCTGTGGGAACTGGATATCCCAATGGATGACTCTGCATTTTGCACCACCAAGTACCTTACGCTAACCCCAGAAGAAGCCTCGTTGTGCTGCGGTTTTACCTGCAAAGATGATTTTTTTTTTTTTAATGGGTTAGTACTGCAACATTTACTGCAAATTTACAGATTTGTGGTATTGACTTTGAGGCCTAGATTGGAGTTCATTTTGATGAAAAATAGTACTCGTTGCACCAAAAAAAGATGCCATATTTGCAATATTTTCTTTCAGATGTCTTTGCATGCAGCTAGGATGTACTCATACCCATCACGTTAAGGAACAGATTAAACACAAACTAGTAAAAATCTTTACCAGATAAATGAAAACCCTCAGGATCTAAAAGAAAATAACATGCTTCAATAAAGATAATATGCGTCAATAAAAATAATTACAAATTATCTTCTTTTTTTTTTTTTGGTCAAATATTTGATTTCAAGGCACTGGTATACCTTAGGAAATTACTGCTTGGGAATACCTTTTATTAACATTTTTCATGAATTTTAGTACAATATTTCCTGTCTTTAGTTGTCCTAAGACTGTCATCTTTCATTTGCAGTGCTGTCTTGTGTCTTGTTTTCTTAATTTGGTGTTTATAGCAAATGAAGTGGAACTAAGCTCTTTAGTTTTAAATCTGCCTTGTCTCATAATTTTCATTTTTCTCTGTCTTTGGATACATAGGCATCAGTAAGTAAGCTCATTTCATTGTCTTAATATTTGTAGCTAGTAGAAACGCTAGTTAATTTTCCTTTCCGTAATTGCCATTAAACCTTGCAATCTGAAACTCATATTTTATTTGTCCATTCATCAAGTACAGGAAAGACATTTACTGCGAAGTTTCAATACTTCGATGCTTCTTTATCCTTTTCTTGGAAGTAGAGATGAAGTGTGATTACTGAACTTGAATAGTATTATTTCTAAAGCCAAACAGTCCTACTACCTGCAAAACCCAATCAAAACCAACACTGAGGCGTTGCTTTCAGTTTGTGGACTTCAGATCTCACAATTGGATGCAGGCCAAATCTTTCTTGTCTGCTCTTCACAATTCCTTGCAAGGCAGGTACTTTTCTTTCAATTTACAGAAACGTGCTTCAGACTGGTGAGCTGATGTTTCTCATTGATTAAAATCCCTGTACATAACCAGAAAAAGATTGCTGGATAACCTCAGCCTTGAGAGGCGTCATGTGAAGCGAGGAAGGAACTGAGAAGCTTTTGAAATAATCTGTTCCAGTAGCATAAAGGTGATGTCATCCTGCATGAGCTTTCTACTGGAGGGTTTCCTTCAAGTTCAGAATCATTTCTTTCTCTCGCCTCTAAATAGACTGCGGGTGCTTGACCAACCTCAAAGTATGCCACTTTAGAATAAAGAAATAGTTTAGTATTAGTGTGAAGGCAGTTATTTTTCAGACTGTTACATTCTGCCTGAAGGCAAGCCTTAGGCATACCATTTTTTGGAGAACCGCAGTGCTCGGGGAGAGTTTCTTCACCGGTATAACCCTTCATGGCTTTGCTGGGCGTTACAACCGGGAGAGCCGTCCATGCCTCTACTCTGTGCAGTGATTCTTCTCATCGGTCCTCTCGGGTCCCTGCGACCATTGGGAAGCTGTAGGTTCTCTGTGTGGGTGATCTCCCAGTCACAACTAGAAACAGAAGTTAAGAAGCAATTCAGTTACACTGCTAAATACAGGCCCTTAGGGGACTTTTACATATTAAATAACTTAGAGGAGATTTAGTATCTCTTAATTAACTCCTATCCAGTATCTAGTTATTTAAAGTTCTCTCCCAGTTTTGCTAGGGAATATTTAACCACCAGAGGTTAACTGCCATTCATTTAATTTGGTAATGCTTTCTGAGATATGAACAAACACCACCAAAGAAGAGGGAGCAATCTGACCAAGAGGTCTAAAACTTCATCTTCCAGCAATCACGTAGTCGTGTGAAATGTAATTTTCCCCATTCCTTTTGTTAATAAAGCCAAACCCTTTTTTATCTAAATTCTAAAGAATATGACTCAAATATTGTTAGAGAAAAGACTTAGAATTTGTAACTTAGAAGGTTTTGTGAAAACACTGGACAGCTCTAAGTTGCTAAAAATCATTTTATGTGGTATTTTTGACTTTGTGTGTAGAAGTCATTGGTGCTCATGCTATACTGCAGTTGGTTAACTGCGGGAAAGAGGAAGGTTTTAAAAGTATGGCATTCAAAACACGGAGTACCAGCATTAGGCAGAGGCAGTGAAGCTAGAAGTGAATTGTACAAAAGGGGAATGCAATCTTTATACCCCCATTTCTACCATAATCTCCCCTTATACCATCATATTCTCACCACAGCCTGTCTTACAGATAAATTTAATATTTCAGAGAGCTTTTTAGAATAGGTGCCCTTTTTAAGACTGATTTTTGGTGGGGTTTTTTGGTGGGTTTGTTGGATTTTTTTTGCATCCCCATGCTAGACAGCACATCTGTTCAGTTACAATAAATTTGTATATGGCAATGATGGAAATGCATTTTGATTCGGTCTCATTGCTGACGAGGGTAATCTTCTCTTTGAAAGGATAAGGTTTTGGTTTTAGATCGATCTCATGCTAGACAGTATCTTAAATTTGTCACAGGTTGGGGGGAAATAAGTTTATTTTCAGGCTCAGGTAAGCATTATTTAAAAGAGGGCTCTAAGGGCATGCTTTTCTAGCTGGCAGTTTGGAGATACTGAAGATACTGTTTATCTTAAAATCTGCTCAGAAGTTTGTGGTATTAAAAATATTTGATGAAGGCACGTTAACAAGGCACTCAGAGGTGGTAGATGAATTCTTTACTGTTAGAGTGGTGAGGTACTGGAACAGGTTGCCCAGAGAGGTTGTGGAGGCCCCATCCCTGGAAGTGTTTAAGACCAGGTTGGATGGGGCTTTGGGCAACGTGGTCTAGTGGAGGGTGTCCCTGCCCATGGCAGGGGGGTTGGAACTAGATGAGCTTTAAGGTCCCTTCCAACCCAAACCATTCTACAATTCTATGAATTCCAGAAAACGGTGAGACATCCTACTTTTGGGGTAGAAATTCAACATAATCTAGCTGCAGGGCCCTTTCACTTGGATTAATGTGGTGTGGAGATGAAATTCATACACATAGTGATACTTCGGAGTCAGTATGTGTATCGTAAATGCAAGCACCTAATCGTACAGGTGTTCTATAGAATAGCAGAGTTCTGATGCACAACTCTTATAGAATACATTTAACTTAAAGATTCCTGTGAATATTGTGTGTTAGCTGTGTGCAGTATGGCTCAGTGCCACTGCCATTTGAACGATGGAGACACAATTATACATATGTACAATATACATACCATGATTCCGTTTTCTCCTAGAGAAACTATCACATAACTACGTAGCATTGATGTTTTCTGTCGCTGGGGAGATAGGGTACAGAATTGACTGATACTTCTGAAATCTAAGGGTCTTTTTCAGAGGTTAACTTGTTTTTGAACTTGCTGAGTAGCTGAAACTTGCTTTGATTTTTCTTCCTCCTCAAGTCTTTCTCCCCTAAAGAAGATGTAAAAGTAAATGTCTTGCCCAGTAGTCTAGTAAATGTGGTCTTTCTGTTGGATAGTAGTAGTTTGCTAGAAGTAATTTAATGGCTCTGATTCATATCATGAATTCTTTTTTTTCTCTCATAAGTATCTATGTCCATGCATGTTTCCTCACATGTGATTATCTTCTTTTCTTTCAAGTCTTTTTCTTCTCTACCATTTCCAACAAAGCAGGGGAAAAAAGTCAGTCTTAGAAGAAGGAGACCGTCAGAGAGTTATAAGCAGCTTTGCTTCCCGTGCTATTGAGGCTCACAAGCAATCTAATATCAATGGATCATTGAACAATAACCTCCCCAAATCTTCAAGTAACATTACTTTTTTGTCTGATGAGAACCCATTAACTACTCAAAACCCTTTGTATGTGGAAGGTGTCACTCAAAGTCCCACTGCTGCTGGGTTTCTACGGAAAAGAAATGATACTCTAGATACTCTGTCTCCTTCAAGACTAGTGTTGAGAGACGCCTCCTTGGGAGGCAGTCACCGTGCATGGACGGTGCCAGCTCACGTTACGAAGAGACGCACGCCTGGTTCTCCGAGCAGGCCAGTTATCATGGACCCCATTCAGTGGCAACAGGAGAGGCTCAAAGCAGAGAATGAAGGAACTGAAAATCAACATAGCAGTATTGATATAAGCAGTCCACTGTTTCAAAAAATAAGTGGCCCCAAGTTAACTGTAAAAGAGAAGGCAAGACAGTTTGAGCAGCAGGCTTTGCAGGAAATGAAGCAAGTGAAATCTCCTGATGTGAAATCCATCCGATCACCAACACACAGCATCTGTTTCCAAGGAGAGAATGTGCTAGAGCAGTCTCCTAAAAGCGTGGTTGCTTCTCCTTGCCTTCGCTCTTCTCCTCTGTCCTCTCCAACACCTTGTGCTGAAGTCGCTGAACCGGAGGCCTCCGTGGTCCCCTCTGTAATCATCACTCACCACGACTACCCTGAAGAACTTTCTCCTCCACCAACTCGCAAACCAACTCCTCCATCGTTTAGGATAAAGAAACCAGTTTGCCAAAGTTTTCTAGCTCCTCAGACCAAAGAAGTTCTAGAAAGCATTCCAGATCCGCCTAAAATCCCCCCACCCCCACCTCCACTGCTGCCGCCACCACCACCTCCATCCCCTCCTCAGTTGCCACCCCATCCTCCGCCTCTGCCTGCGGTTTCTCTTTCTTCTTCTTCCTCATCTCCTCTTAGCACCCAGCACTTCTCCCCTGCCAAGCATTCAAAATCCCCTGCCAAACAGCCAGCTGTACCACCACCGGCCACCGTGCCAGAGCTTCCTCCCCGTAGGGAGCTGAAAGGTATTCTGAAAAACATTCAGAATTTAGCAGCGATCGAAAAGTCTGTGGCCAACATGTACAGCCAAATAGACAAAAACCAAGTCCTGCCCAAGCACGTTTCTAAGCTCAAACCGGTTGCAACACCAGAGCTGCCAACTCCAGAAGCTGTGGCTGAGCACAACCAGCAGAACGGCAGCCTGAGCTGTGTTGTGGAGGAGCTTGAGAAACGCTTTCCGTCTCAGTCGACAGCACTGTAATATTTACGGTTGGATGTTTTCTGCATGTACCATTTTGAGTGAGGTGACTCTAATGCAGCACATGGTATCTGCCTCAGACTCTCTAGAAATTCAGACTTTTTCCCTTTCTCTGCTGTATATCACTACTTACTCAGTCCTAATCCCAAATTGAGAGATGTTGTCTGTCCTGTTCACTTGGAAATTTGTAATGTATAATAATTCAATAAGTTGTTTTCTCAGAGCTCCATCTTACTGTTCTATGATGCTGGTTCTTAGTCTGTTTACCACAAATTGTTAGGGAAAACTGTCCATTTTTACCCAAGGATCAGTCATAGATGGCAGAGGGCTTGATGCTGCTTTACATTGAGCAGCCTTCACTGTAGGTAATATCAGTAAGCAGAGTGATTTTTCTCCAGCTGTAATTGGAATCTCTTGCTTTGCCCATAAAATGTACCACCTGGGAGGAATCTTACTGTCAAATATTGGATGTCAAAGAAAGCAAGTATTGGTAGTAAGCAGGCTCAGCAATAGTGAGCCAGAGGTATTGCAGTAATGCATCATCTTATTCCGTGGGAGATGATGCAGCGCTTCGCCGTGCTAGCATGCTCTCTTTCAGCTCACGTTTGCATTTCAAGTCAGAAGCAGGGGTTTGTCTTGATTTGTCAGTAAACCTGGCTGTCTTCCCTCCTGCTACCTATGTTCTGCCTTCCATTGCATTTTTTTAATATTGTAACTGCATGTTAAAAGTTTTTATTTTGTATATTTCTTTAATGTACAAAGCATTTGGTTTTTATTTTGCATGTGTATGTTGTTGGCGTCTCTCTCCAACTTTGAGCTAGTTTGCCACGAACTTTACAGCTGAAACATCTCACCTTAAATTGTAATAAAGTCACTCTGATTAGTTGTCACCAAGTGAAGATTTTTCAAGTACTTGTAAAAATCCATATAATGTGGATTTACTTACTGGCTTTTTTGCTCACAGTCGTCTAAATCAGACCTTTACGTTAAATATGTCAATTATAGTAAATTAGCATGTCCTTTGAAAAAAAATGGTAAGTAAAAGCAGTTTGGGCATTTAAATGAATGCTAGTTCAGTTCAACTTGCAAGTTTCTTTTTAGTCTTTTGCTAAAATTCAAAATGTGTGTTTTAAAATGAAAATTTTAAAAAACATATCAGGAAAGGCAAATATTATGTAATTAAGAAAAACTAAAAACCCAATTTGGTATTAAATGTTGTAATTCTGAGCAAAAAAGGTAATTAATTATTTATCAGACTGTCTGGAGATACTCAGCATTTCCATGGTGCTTGGCTTTTTCTCTTTTCTCTTTGTCGTTTTGTTTTTTTTTTAACCTGCAGTTAGGACGTGTATGGTTGCTTCAGTCGGAAACTGCCGAAGGTAGTTTCTCTTTCTTTATCCCAGAGCCAAACTCCTTGAACTCCATCACAAAAGTTTTGCTGATACATTAGAAATTTTTTTTGCTTAAAACTCTTGCTGGGCTACACTGTGGTTCCAAGTCACATACAGTAGCTAAATGCGTGAGGGGAATGATTATCGATCATAGCATTTCTGCTGTAACATAATCTGTATAATTTACGAGATGCACGCATGTAGCATAACTGCTGATGATGCTAAATTCTCCAAGAGTGGCACTACTGCAGCACCAGCAGCAAACCGTCAAGGTTCAACAGCTATTAATTAGAGAAACTCTTAAGATTTAAGAGCCAGTGTCGGAAGATGACTTACACGTGTCCTTGCTTCGGAGTGTCTGCCATGGCCCAAGCGTGGAGACAGTGGAAAGTGTCCAGAGATGAGCATGAGAAATTATTGTGCTAAGTATGTTCTGTGTGGATCAACCCTTAAGACAGAGATTTGAATTTAAGTACCCAAATCCCACATCAGAGCTTGTAGACACATAAAAGATGCTTTTGTGAAGTTCATTACATCACTAGTGAAGCATTAGACAAATACGACCTAATTTTGCAGTATGTAGTGAGGAGTCTGGGGGGGAGGTCATGGTAGTCAGCTCTCCACTGATGAGGAACAGCTACTTTCTCATTCTGGAAACTTTTATTAAGTTAGAAAGTTTACAAAATCTAGTTTCATTTTGTCTGGAATTAATGCAACCTTTGTTCTCCTGCTGGTTTTTTGAATAGTCTTTGTTAAAATCATTCTATTAGACTGGGAAAGAAACTCTTCCATAGTGTGTATTTTTAACCTAACCCAGGGAAGTTCTGTCCCATTGGGATGTCTGGATGCTACTGCCATTCTGCAGTACTACAAAGTATTACAGCCGATAAATTATTTGGTAAAAAGTTGAGCATATGTAAGCTTATAGCCCCCCTCATCAGGTTGTCTGATTTGGCTAATTAGGGTGAGACATGACCCTGGGTATCTCTCTCATCCTTTCATCATCAACTTGAGTGGGTTGAGTTCCAAGCAGGCACAGAGATCGCATCAGTGGAGAGCGCTTCTTTGCAAAGCCGAAATGGACCAGTGGCGTGTCATTACTCATCTCCCTTCCGGATTCTTTCTTCTCGGTTCCAGCTATGAACTGCAGGAAACCTCCAGTTAAGAGTCAGGGCAAACTGATAAGGAGTTGCCTTCTCTGAGCAGTATCTGTAGTATTTGGGGTTTATGATGCTTTTGCTTTTAATATGAAAACAGATGTAAAATATGAAATAGCAAATGCCTGCTGGGCTATGCCAGTAACTGGGAAACTTGTTGCTTTAGTCCAGTTGCAATTCCTTTAGCCTGTGTTAGGAATACAGACCTCTGAAAGGTTGGCACAGTTTGTACATGTAAGCTGATTCTTGGTTTCTCTTTCCTGTTAAGTACCAGCAGCGTATACTAGCTGGCATATTATCCTACATCATCGTAGGTGCTACGGCCTTGCTTCCCATTTTGCACCAAAGATTTCCCTCTGAATGACTGCAGTGAAGTCTGGCTGATAATGTTTATCCAGAAGCGATTCCTCCCTCAGTGGAGAGTTTTAATTCCTTCCTGGAAACAAATGTTGTTGGTTTGACCTTTTTGTCAGAATAGATCCTTGTGCTGTATTGAGTGAATGGTATTTTTTGTCTTCTGGGGGCTTTTTTTCTACTAATTATGGCCACACAAAACTGTAAGAGAAGTATAAGCATCTCTCAAAACGCAGCATGGTGCTATTTTTAAGAAAGTTGAATTCCAAATTGAATGAGAATTCCTTATGTTATGCTTTTAATCTGCAATATAGTGACTACTCTAGAGCAATTAAGATTAATAGGCTTACTTATCGTCTGTGCAACACGAGACCTTCTTTATCTGAAGATTGTTGTAGGCAATATGGAAACTAAATACAGTGTTCCTCAAGTGAGCTTTGAAAAGTCACAGATCAGCTTTTGATGATAAATCTTCATTTCAGTTGTTCATTAGTTTTATATTATATAGGCAACAGCATTAATTTAATGCTGATGATCAATTGCATGTTATGAATCTTAATAGAAAACTTTATAGATGGCAATATTAAAGAATTAAAAGGACTTCTACTCTGTTCTTTATTATTTACTCAAGTGTAATTAAAGAATTTCCCTAGACCGCTGTCTGTGTACTAGGTTAAGCTCAGCGTAATTTTGAGCATTTACTGTTTCCTTAAAAAAAAAATAATTAAAAATGCAGGCTTATCCTTAATGATAATGCCGAGACCTGAATTGCTGTTCCCTGGTTTTGTTTAAACCATTTTAATTTTCTGGCACAAAATGTGAAAATGGAGAACTTGATAGACATAAGTGCATTTGTCATGCACATGAACAGCTCCAAGAAAATGGATTAAAACAACAAAAATTTTCCAGTAAGATCAAAAGCACAAAGCCTGTGGCAAAATAATCATAGACAGCAAAAAGAATTTAACTACCCCCTGCAGAGGAAATGTTAGGAAGTGTGTAATTTTAGTAATAATGTTGTTACAAGAAATTAGTAATAAGAGCTCCAGGCTAATTTCTACCAAGTCCCAAGTGGATATCCAAAGTCCAGAAGTAGAAGAGAAACAGTTTCGCTGCTTAAGCAGATGGGCAAAATGAGAGAGTCTCTTTCTGGATGGTGTCTGTAGGTGTCTCAGACACTGGAGACGGTGGCTGGGCTGGACCTCTCTTACAGGAAGGCGAGGAAAGCCAAACGCAGCTCCCCCCCTTTCCCTTGGCTGAGTTCCACTGGGTGCACTGGCTCTCTGGCTTTTGGGGATTGGGGATTTCTTCTCATTCATTTGCAATCAAAAGCAAGAAAAGATCCCAAAGATTCACTGGCCTTTCTCATGCAATAATTCCTATGTCCAGAGCAAATATAAAGAAAAACATATTTTGTGTTGTAGATATGTATTTCTTTTCTTGCTAGTAGTATTTTTAATTGCATTATCTTTTCACATCTCTCCAGAAAGAATGACAATATGCACCTTTATGTAGTCTCGCAGAAGTATACTAATTTATTTTTTTTTCTTTTCTGACTTCTAGGCGAGGATATGCACAGCAAGAGGTAAGGCTGCTCCCCAGTCACGTTTGAAATATCAATGACATCAACATACTTTTCCCATACAGCCTGTGTTGTGAAACTCATTGCTACTGCATCTTTTAGAGGCCGGAAATATAAAGTGCTTCAAAAAGATCATGAGGCATAGATTCCCTGGGGGCTAGTAACCACCGTGGCACAAACGTAACCTCCAGGCTAGGAGATTGCTGCTTGACCAACTGCCAAAACCAGTTTCCCAGGGAATTCCCTCCACGCTTGCTGGTTGTTTTTTTTATGGCACAGCTAATGGTTTGCTGCTGCCCGCTGTTACAGACCGGGTGCTGGGCTACGCAGACCTCTGCAACTCAGCGTAGTCTGTTGTTCTTGCAGCATCTTTCTCTCCAGCAATGAGTAACACAAATAGTATCCTTCAGAAATCTGAATGAACTCGTTTAGTAATTGAAAAGTTCTCCAAAATACATTTGTCATAAAGGCTGATATTTACTGCTGAGAGCTGGATCAGTTTTACTAATCTTAAGGTGCATGCCTAGAGCCTACTCCTCCTTAGTCAGTAGTGTTTTACAAATTGCAAGCTTACTGGTGTTCTGCTGTGATTTTCCTCTCTTTGCAG